GTGTTAGCATAGTGAAACATGCCACAAATTTGCTTGTTGATTCCAAAGTGCAGCGATCCTGCTTCTGACAAAATCATAGGATTTCTTTGATTTTGAATCGAAATATCGTCAAGAATATATCAGACACGATCCGTTTAAAAGTGTATGCTAAACGTTTTCATTTGTGATTAGAAATTTCATTGTTACTTCTATAGTAATGCGTTCGTCGGTGGTTCCAGATGCCGGAATCAGATCATTGAGATTATTAATAAGTTGCTTGAAGGGTTTGATTAATTCGAGGGGGCGACACATCTAAATCTCAATTCTTGATGCTCAACAAATCTCACACTAGCGAATCAATCTTCGAAAAATCGTCTTTCATTTCTTGCATCGTGTATCATCTTTTTTTCAAGAAATCTTCAGAATTGTCATCAATCTTCTTTCTATCTACTCAGCGTGCGTGCAGTTAACCACAGCAAAACACAATTTTTTCTGATTCCAGATTCTGGGCACTCCATAGACAAAACTGTAATCCTATGCACCATCAACGGTTATCGGGTTTCATTCGAACTTAATGTGATTATAGTGGCCAATTATTAATTCTCGTTAGCGTATCTCCATGATTTTTTTTAACGAACAAAGAATATGTAAACAAATAAATCATAATAAGCGAAACGAACGTTAAAGGAATTATACCACTGATGAGCTAGAAAGCGATGGAAGAGAACAGTCGAGTTAAATTGATAGCATATATGCTGCTGATCCTATCCGAAAATGGGTAGTCTAAACCAGCATCTTGAAAAAAAAAAGTTGATAAATGATCAACGTCGAAAGGAATTGGATCGATGTAGACCAGGTGTCAGAGCGTTTTTTCACAAAAAAGAACCTCCCCATGTTTGGGCAGATCAACGTTTAGCTAAACAGAATAGATGTAGGTTGTTTAAAAATAGCGTATCGAGTGATTTCCTAAATTTCAGTATTTGCATTGCTCAGAGTCGATTGTTATAATGTGAGAGTCGATTGTTGTTTGTGAATAATTTTTCGTCAGTGTTAACGGAAACCACCTTTCAACAATTAAACAAACAACACAAACGTTAAGTAAACAAAGATTCAAACGTCAATTTGTCGAAGCTCATAGCCCACCTACGCAAAATAACATGTGGGGGAAGCTTTACTCTACCTGATAGTGGTATTATCATAGAGGTAACTCTAAGACCAGCAGGTCCCGAAGAAACGTGCTCAACTTTTTGGCTCAGCTCTAGTACTATCTTCGGTCCCAAGCTAATCGATGCACCCCTCGAAACATAGGGAAATCCACGAACCCCTAATTTTATCTGTCAAACTTTCATAGCGAATCAAAACAAACAAAGTGTAGTACTAGAATTTCGACTAGAATTGGGCACGCTAATCAATTTGCTTGGGACCAATAGGCTAGTCAAGTAGCGAGCCAATTTTGGATCGTTAGTTTCCACCCGTTGGTATTATTTTGCGTTGGTGGGCGAGCGAATAGTTTAAACAAATTGACGTTTGAGTCTTTGATTACGAAAGCAGATACGTCTTCGTGAAAATCCATCATTGATTTCTTCCGTTAGCATCGCACAACTTCGATTCGGAAGAAAATGTCACGTCGGTAATGAATCTTCTGGGAGATAGACTTCTCTGAATGTTCAAGAAACGATGTTAATAAGAGTCAGGCAAACAATTAAGACAGATGAACCAATGGAACTGTAGTGTGAGGTACCAAACGGGTAAAGTCAGGGTAACAAACATATCAGTGCCAACATTTCAAAGGGGCGTAATTGCTTTTGTAAACAATGGCTTTAGCCATCGATTTCTCGCAAATAGAAGCTTACCCCACCAAATGAATAATGCTAGCTGGTAGAGGAAATATTTCTGTACCTGTTGGTATCATTAATTTTCATGAGAGAGCTTTTATTCGCGAGAAATCGACGGCTATAGCCATTGTTGACAAATACAATTACGCCCCTTTGAAATGTTGGCACTGATATCTTTATCATGGCAAAATGACATACGACCATGGATGGCATATGTCATTTGTAATAACAGATCTCACGCTAGTTTTTCAGAGGTACTTCTGTCACCATCATCGCATAAGAAAGCGATGATTAGGATTTTCTTTCTTTGTTATGACAGATCGTGACAATGTTGTGAAAATTGCAATAACAATGTCGTTTATTGTGAGGTTTAATTCATCTAAATCAGTTAGTCATTGTTTTTTTTTTTGTGAAAATCATCTGAGAATTTATCTCACGAGTGCTTGATCATTGAGGAATGACACGAATTCTTAGTTTTGACTCGTGATAGTGGGAAGACCTGTTTTCTAATTCTCACGTAACGACTATGATAGTGGATACGGCAAACGAGCCAAAAAATAATGGGAGATCAGTATTGGTAAGAAGCAAGATAAAATTGACTGCAAGTTTGACTGCAACATCTTCGGGACCTTCTGGTCTTAGGGTTATCTCTATGGTACCAGAGCTGAGCCAAAAAGTTGAGCACA